AATTGGCGCGAACTTTCGTGGCCCTGGCAATCGTTGCGTCCTCTCTCCTCGAAAAACTTATTTTCTCCTTGAATTGAAGAGCAACCCGATCAGAGGATGAGGACAGTTCATTTAGGCGCGAACGAGAAATCGGCATTTCCGAGAAATCGTATGCATAACGTCATCAGCGAATAAAAAAACCAAGCTGATTTGGTTGCGATATTTTCTTAATTTCCCGGAAAACAGTTCATTGATCGAAAATTTGATAGGGTGTCCAACAGACTCAATGAAAAAATTTCTTGACTTTTTAAGATTTTCTAAAACCAGAAATTAATTTTTTATCTGACTTTTTAGTATTATTTTTTCCAAATATATAATTTGCATATATCTATATGATAAATCAATTAAATGTTAAATCACGAAATCCTTGAGATATTTTTGTTAACAATGAAAAGGTTTGGAAGTTAAAAAAAAAAACAAAAATTTAAATCAATTACAATCTGCATTATGTATACGATAATAGAAACAAATGTGTTACTACAACTATTTAAATGATCACTTTTTTTATTTATATATTATATCAAATTTTATTTTTAATATATTTTAACAAATTATAATACATATATTTTAATATATTTAATGGTATTTGATATCACAAAAAAACTTTTAAACAAAACATTTGTAATAAAATTAATGTATTAATTTTGAATAAAAAAATGAATTAAAATAAAGTTCTTAAACAATATTATAATTCTTGAGCGATGTTATAATATATTTTAAAATATATAATACATTGAAATAAAATAACACGACAATAAAAATATAAATTAACGAATACGCTGTAGATGAATCGATTTTTAACATCACAGAAAATTAGCGTATAGAAGTCAAGGAAAAGTTATATTTATTTAATAAAAATTTCAAATTAATTGAGACAAATGTAGAATAATGTGAAAAAATCCAGATAAATCGTAAAATTTCCTGACATTTCCCTGACAATTCAAAAAAGTAAAAAGAAATTAGATTGGAAAAATAATAGTAAAAATATGCGATAAAAATTTAAGCTTCGACAGCCTTCAATTTCTAACTGCCAACAACAAAAATTAATTACCCCCTACTGATATCAATATTAATCTCATGTAAATCGATTCGCTCATGCTCGGGAAAAATCACTATATTATAAATAGATTGCAATAGCAATTGCAATTCTCTCTCAATCCATATATCAGTCCGACGATAATTGTGCAACGTGTGTTTATGGCTACTCCTAATCAGCATCCGATTCCAAAGACCGCTCGGCTGATTCCGATCAAGCACCCTCGTTTGCACGACTCGATAATAATCAATCGAACGTGGTCGTCATTCAAACGTACTGAATTCGAAATAATTGCCTGTCCACTGGTATTCACTCGTTCCCACCCTCTCTCGCTCGTCCGTCTCTTTTTTTTCTCTCCCCGTATAAAATCCTCCCGGATATGTAATAATCTGTTCGACGTAACACATTTTCCAGTGAATTATCGACTTATTAACTAATTTCCCCGTCTATGCGGAATTATTCGATTTCACCGAAGACATTTTACTAAAGTTTCTCTTTAAACGCTTATCTTTATTCTCACGAGTATCGACACAATTATTTGATTTTAAAAAGTTTCTTGTCAATAGATGAGTTCCAAGAGAGTGCAATCTGTGTTAATACTAAATACAATACATGAAAAATAAAATGAAAAATTAGCATCGCGCGGAGCTTTAATTGTCTCCTTCGAATTTTTGGCGCACAGTTTTTTCCTTTACGAGCGCATCTTAGATAACGCGTGCACCCTCTATCACTCGCAATCCCTCGTGGAAGTCCCTGGTGGACCGTCGCGGTATGCAAACAGAAACGAGAGATAGGTCGAAAAAGCGGGAAAAGGGGGCTGGTATGTAGAAAGAGAAAGCAGAGAGGGGAATCGTCGGAATAGTCGTCTAGCAGCGTGGTGCAACGGGGGTGTTACTAATTGGAGGGGTACCGAGGGGAGGAAACCTTGTTATCTCTTAATTGCTACGACCCTCCGCGCTGTTTTGCATCGATAAGGAACGACCCGGCTCTGTTGTTTCGCGAACCCTGTCGATCTCATCGATCTGACTCCTCGGAATTATTCGGCGGGATACAACAACCCTTCGTATCATCCCTTTTTTATTTTTTATTTTTTTTTTGTTACACATGATTCTTATACCTAATACACCAGCGCGACTATACCGTCATAAATCTTTGCAATTAAATTGTAGTTTTTCCTTTCTGCATCTTTTTTCGGGAGATGTTAGAATTTTTTCAGGGCGGCATAATTAAATTTTTTTTTTGTTCTTTCTTAATTTTTTAAATTGTTTTTATTTTTTTTTATATTAAATATTAATTAGATATTAATTATATATTACGTAATTAAATATTAACCATTAAATTAATATTTTTGTATTACACGTGCAGGCAAAGTGGCACTTTGTGTGCGTGTTTTCTGTGCGGAAAGCGGCCGATTTCCCACGCCGCAAGATGGCGGCGTGCGATCGGCCACCTCGCGCACAGAAAACGCGCCACTTTGCCTGCACTTGTAATACACAATATACTATTATATTAATTATGTCCAAAATAAATTTCAGTATTTATTCAAAAAGAGAGCAAATGCTTAATTTTGTAATAATTCTAAGGAGTGCTCGATAATTTTTGTAAATTTTTCCTCTCACTCTTCCGTATACATTCTAGTCCTTTAAAGAGCTGTAGATAATATTTCGGAGCACCTAGTAATCCCCGATACAATTCGCGATGATCTGGATGCGATTCGCGATTCCGCGCACGAAAACGAATCCGGGGAGCGCATTCTCGTAACGAGTTCGATTATCCTGCGTGGCATGAGTCAGTCGATCCCTGTTTCCTGCACCTCCCCCTCGTTTCATTTCGCCTTCCATATAACGGGTGTCCGGATTCCCAGGAGGTTTTCCGCCCCCTCTCTTTTCAAGCCTCATTGCTATGCACCGCTCGAAACTCCGCTAACGACCTTACATCCCTCTCTTTTCTACCCACGGCGAATCCCTCCCTGGGAGGCCACATCGCGTCTCGTATTCGAAAGTATTCGAGATCGCTCGGGCCCGAAACTCTTGCGCGCGAGCCCTTTGATCGCGCGGAAGCTCGCACTGTAACAAGTTTCTTGACACGCGCGAATACGGTAGGACTCTATTTATCGGAGCGGATAATACCGAGGGAAAGTTCTCCCGAAGAAAGTTCGAGGATCGGTAGGATAACTCGAGGAATTGAAAGTAACGCACGGGTTACTTAACATTCTGCTGAACCGGCATCGCTCATTTTTAGATCAAATTCTAATCAATTTTGCCTCGCAAGTTTCAAACAGGGTGTCCAGCAAACTCAATGAACAAAATTCCCTGTCTTTTTCAGATTTTTCAAGAGCAGAAATTCATTTTTTCCATTTTAGTATTATTTTTAGTATTATTTAGTAGTATTTTTTTAGTATTATTTAGACTTTTTAGTATTATTTTTTCCAAATATATGTATAATTTGTATATATCTATATGATAAATCAATTAAATGTTAAATCATGAAATCTTTGAGATATTTTTGTCAACAATGAAAAGATTCGGAAGTTAAATTTAAATCAATTATACCATCTGTATTATGTATGATAATCGAAACAAACATGTCACACTATAAACTACTTAAGACGATGAAAATATAAATTAACGAACACGCTGTAGATGAATCGATTTTTAACACAGAAAATTAGCGTGCTGGGAGTCAAGGAAAAGTTTATATTTATGTAATAAAAAATTTCAAATTATTGAGACAAATGTAGAATAATGTGAAAAAATCCAGATAAATTTCCTGACTTTTCCCTGACGATTCCAGATTTATAAAATTCCCTGACAATGCCCGGTTTTCCAGATTCCCTGACCGCTAGACACCCTGAAGAGGACGCTTCTGAAAAGTTTTGTTTTTTTTTCTAACAAAATTAAAATAAAGATAGCCAATTAATTATCCACTTCTAGAAATGCGTTAATTTTCGTTCTTTAATTTCTTCTTTTGCGAGACATTTCTGAGAATACTTCTTTTTATATCGCAAGAAACTAATTAAAGTTTTGTAATATTCCTCAAAGGAACACGTGCTACAGAAAATGATCGGCCCAAGGGCTAATGAGTCTATAAACACGCGAATACAGTAAAAAGGGAGTAAAGTCCATTACAGGATGACAGCGAGTCTCCTTCTTCCTCTCCCTACTTTTCTCTCACCCACTAGCTAGCTCGCCGGAAACACTCAAGCTGAAGAACGAGGGTGTTCGGATCGCAAAGTTGGTCTTGTTAGGCCTGCAAAAGGGGATTCCGCTCAACCAACCGTGCCAGCCTTAAGGGCCCTTACTCCACCAGAGGCACGCTTCGTTTCTCGATTGATTCTTTATTTTACAATCGCCGTGGCTCCGCAAAGGGCAACGAATACACGGTAGGACCGGCCTGGAGACAGCGCAGTCCATGACCCTTCCGTCTGCCAATTTCCGGCTGCCCTAACGTCATCGTTTTCCACCTCGTCTATTCGTCTCCGGCGATTCTGACTTTCGGATACTACGCTACGCAACACTGCATACACTCACAAACGCTTTCGTTTGCATCTCTGAATAAATTAATGTCAAAGAAAAATCAAAAAAACATTTAAAATGTATAAAAAATATATAAAAAATATTTAAAAAATATTTAAAAAATATTTAAATATATATAAAAAATATATAAAAAATATTTAAACCTGTATACAACGAATAAAAATGTTTCAAACATCTGTGTATGTGTACGTGTAAATGTATGCTGCTTTTTGTGACACATGTTGTATCAAAGAGTAATTTTAATAAAAAAAAAAAAAAAAAAAAACACCGCTTAAGTTGAAAGGTTCATCTATGTTTTTTCCGTCCGTTGAAATAAAATGTGACTCGTTAAATTCGATTCTTTTTTTCTCGCAGTAATCGCCTATTTCCGTCACTCGTTCGATTTACAGAAGGAGGAGGCTCTACCGAGTCTTCCGGTTCCGGACCTCGAGACGACCTTGCAGAAATACTTGGCGCAGGTCGAAGCCGTCGCGCCGAACCACCTGGAAAAGACTCGGAGCTTGGTAAGAGCCTTCCTCTCGGGACCAGGACCGAAACTCCAGCAACGTCTCCTGGAACGTAGGCAGAAGACGACCAACTGGGTGAGTGATCCAACTTTATAAAAACCACGACGGTCCTGAATTTATTTTGCAAAATCGATATCTTCTTTTCCATTCGACTAATAAAGGAAGACTCGCATATTCTCTAAAAGTAAGAGAGAACACAACATTCGAATTACATTATCCACTCCGCGTCTACATAAATCTTTCTCGAGTTTTACGAGCTTTCCTCCTAAATCATCAATGCGAGATCGGCTTCTCTGTTCCGTAACATCGCCGAGAAGACATCGGTTCTGTCTCGGAGAGCCGAGTCAGACGGCATAATCCCTAATACAGTCGTCGCTTTAAACCGAGGGTCTGTCGGCCGATGAGGAAGAAGAAAAAGCCACGGTGTGTGTCACAGTCATAGGGATCGACCGGGAAAGAGAGAGAGATCCTCTTCTCGCGGCATCTCTAAGTGGCACAACACCATTTTCGTTTCAAGCCGCGACGCCTCGAGAGAATTTACCTCCGGCTATACACAGGGTGTTCGCTCATCGTTCCATCGATCTGATATCTGGGGAGAATGAGATCGATCCTGATATACACATACATGCGCATGCAAGTAATAACGTAGATATACACGTTTGGAATCTAAACAAGATTTTTCAAAGACAACGTTTGAAGATATTGCATGTGAAATTTCAAATAAAATTTTCTTGTAAATGACATTCCGGTTAAATAAAATTACTTGAAATTATAGAAGAGAAATTTCACAGGATTTGTATCGGAATATTATATTATTTCTTTATTGTTCACAATTGAAAAAAGATTGATAAACACTTTGACGAGAGAAGCTCTTGAATTTTATTTTATATTTCAGAATTTTTTAAAATTCTAGGTGTTAATAAAGTACCATATATTTTTACATAGAAATGATTATATAGAAAAGTGTGCGGAATAAAACTACGCTTATTTGATCCCGTGCAAAAAATTCAAAATGCGATTTTCATATTTTTAAATAATTCTGATACCTAATAGAAAGAAGTCGCATCTTATATTTTTTAATAAAACATGTGTAAATAAAGCAAACACCCTGTATATATCTCGAACGGCGAGAAACGCGTAATAACATACACATTTAGAATTTAAATAAGATTTTTAAAAGACAATGTTTGAAGATATTGTATACAAAATTTCTATTACGATACTGTTTTTATAATGACGTTCGGGTTAAATAAAATTATTCGAAATTAAAGAAAAAAAAAATTTCAAAGGATCTGTGTCGGAATATTACATTAATCCTTAATTATTCACAACTGGAAAACTATTGATAAACACTTTGACAGAAGAATCTTTTAATTATAAACAATCATTATAATTATAATTCAGAATTTTTAAAATTCTAAAAATGTATTAAGTATACCATATGTATATTTTTACATGCAAATAATTATATAGAAAAGTGCGCGGAATAAAAGGACCACGCTTTCGACCCTGGGAAAAAATTCCAAATGCAATTTTCATATTTCTAAATAATTCTGATACCTAGTAGGAAGAAGTCGCGTATCTTATATTCTTTAACGAGAAGTATGCGTAAATAAGCAAACACTCCGTATATATTTCGAACTGCGAGAAATGCGCTCCTGAGACTCGGCGGAGTCGCTCACGTGACTTTTGCCATCCCTTCGACCACTCCCGAGCGCGCGCTCCCGTGGGATTCCCGGTTCGATGCATGCGTCGGCTATAAGCCGGCGTCTCGCACCCCCTCGTCGAGCCAGGCACCCCCGTGGCACATAAATAAATAAATAAATGGATTTACGAGGGCCCGGGCGTCTCTCCATCCCTTGCGACCCACCGGTGAAAAGGGACGGACATTAGGGGGTCGCGCGTGGACTGTACCGGAACAATGCAAATATTGCCGAAGGAATAAGGAGGACAAGAAGGGCGACACGGAGTCACATTGTACGTAAGATTGCTGAGCAGAGAGATGACTGTATTTCGATCGAAATATGCGAATGACGTTAAGCTTTTCATCCCCCGGGATCCAGATGCGGACTCGTTTGCCGCGAAGAGTTTATTACCAGAAATACGATAACGTATGTGTTGAACATTTTTGCGAGATGTTGTGTGCAAAATTTTATTTTCAGGATATAAAATATCTCTCCTTCAAAATCGGGCAAGACGCATATGTTGTGTCGTCGAGAAGTCACGATAAATATTTGCGAATAACACGTTACGCTTTACTCGATTTCGGATAGCAGATTCAAAGATGCGCATTTTCCCGCAGAAGTTGATTTGTCGGATAATATATCTTCGTTCAAGAGTGACGTAAAGTCACATTGAATATAAAATTTTCGAGACAACGCGACGGAGCTAAGTTTGATAATTGTGTAGAATTCTATAATAAATATATCATTAATATTTTATTTTCGTAATTAAATTACAATGTTTTTACTTCCCTCTACAAAATTTTTTATTAATATATTTTATTTTCATGATATGTGAAAAAACCTTTTATCTGTCTTGCTTGGTATGAAATATTTATACGCGTAATTAATATAACATATGTGTATTACGCATTCTGACATTTTTTCTAGCAACTGTTTTGTTCCCCGGAGAATATATTTTTCAACAGATTTGTAATCTCCATACAAATTTACTTTTTACAATATGTCCGAAACTATTTTTGTTAAACTGCAGATTAATTTGGCGCAATCTGCCGCGCAATTTAATTTGGGGAATAAATTTTTTTCGCAAGAACAGAATCAGTTGCGCGATAATTCTTCCTTCAATGTGATCTCCCACAGCGATCTCTTTATTTCTTACCACTCTGGGAGCAACCTGTTCTTCTTTCTATTTCTCTGTCTCTTTTCTCTCATCCCTCCCTCGCGTAATTTTTCTAATTTAGCCGAACGGTCCATTCAGCATCGTGAAACGGTTGCACAATCGTCGGCCTCGGGTTTTTCGATTTGCCGGCATACATCCGGAAAAATACATTCTCGTTTCTTTAAGAGGCGACCTCTCGCCGACGACGAGGTCCTCCCTCGGGCTAAAGTGTCGCGAAAAGCCAGGCCGAAAGCAATTTTCTCGCCAGCGGCGGCTGTCGCACGAATTGCTCCTTCGATCTTGCTTTTCCTTTCACGCTATCTCTCCATTCATCTGATCGATGGGAATACTCGGTCGCATTATCCGGTTACGCGTCTCGGGATGACGTCTTGTAAAAGCGAGCGCCGGTCAATTTAAGGGACACGCAGGATTTTTTCCAGGAAACGTGATTACAATTTTTTTATTTCTTATTTGTTGCTCTTTTTTAATTCTTTAAATTTATTTTTTTATATTAAATATGCAAATAAAGTCCAGCGTTTATTCAAAAGGAGAGCAAATCCTTAATTTTGTTACATTATTAAAATTTTCTTATTTCTTATTTTTTGTTCTCCCTTAATTTTTAAAAATTTCTTTTTTTTCTTTTCAATTTTTTAAATTAAATGTGCAAATAAATTTCAGCGTTTATTCAAAAAGAGAGCAAATCCTTAATTTTGTTACATTATTAAAATTTCCTTATTTCTTATTTTTTGTTCTCCCTTAATTTTTAAAAATTTCTTTTTTTTTCTTTTCACTTTTTTAAATTAAATGTGCAAATAAATTTCAGTGTTTATTCAAAAGGAGAGCAAATCCTTAATTTTGTTACATTATTAAAATTTCCTTATTTCTTATTCTTTGTTCTTCCTTAATTTTTAAAAATTTCTTTTCTTTTCATTTTTTTATATTAAATGTGCAAATAAATTTCAGTGTTTATTCAAAAGAAGAGCAAATCCTTAATTTTGTTACATTATTAAAATTTCCTTATTTCTTGTTCTCCCTTAATTTTTAAAAATTTCTTTTCTTTTCATTTTTTTTATATTAAATGTGCAAATAAATTTCAGTGTTTATTCAAAGGAGAGCAAATCCTTAATTTTGTTACATTATTAAAATTTCCTTATTTCTTATTCTTTGTTCTTCCTTAATTTTTAAAAATTTCTTTTCTTTTCATTTTTTTATATTAAATGTGCAAATAAATTCCAGTGTTTATTCAAAAGGAGAGCAAATGCTTAGTTTTTTCACTGATTCCAAGGGAGTTCCTCTCTACAGACATCCATATCTACGTCAGAATATTGATTAATTAATCCGTGTAAATTTTCGCGCTTGGTCCCACGCATCCCCTTTAAACTCGACATTTTTTCCGCGTTTGTTCCCGTGATAGTCGTCGGGGTGAGAAAGGTATAAAAGCACAGAGCCGGCGCCGAACCCAAAACCATGGGTCTCGTCGGGAGAGTCGCGATGGCGACGGTAAGCTAATATTACGGTGCCCCGCGGCGAACTGGAAAATCTCATTGGGGCCTCCATTATTCATCCGCAAGCCCGGGTCTGTATCGCGCGACCCCGTCCGTCTGTCCATTCGTTGCTTCATAGTTTCCGCGGTGGTAAATTCAATTCGAATTACAAACGCCCGGAATTAATCCCCCATACTCGTCCCTCGTCGTCGACGACGCGATTATGAAAGTCGCTCTCCGCAACTTTACCGGAGAACGAGTGAGTGACTTCGCGAATTCGCAGACACGTTTCCCGGAAACTAATTTCGCGCGCCTTCTCTCAACTTCCGTAGAGAGAAATCTCGCGAGACAAAGGTTCTTCATTATTTTTTTTTTTTTTTTTTTTTTAATAAATATTCAAGAAAATTAATTAATTGTAAATCATATACAAGAGTGGGACACTTTGCATGTAATTATAATAAAACAATATGCAGAGTGTGCCTCGTTATTATATTTAAATTTTTCCGAAAATTAATTCGGTAGGAACTTTCTATTTTTCATTTAAATACAAAAGTCATGAATATATTCATAATCAGAAATATAGAATCATAAATAAATAAATATAAATATACTAATATATTTTTATATAAATACATTTTTAACTATATATAAAATTTTGTTGCAAAAAGTTGAATATTCAGATTAATCGAGAAATCGAGGATTAAAAATGTTAATTGTTTTTAATCGAATGACAATTATATATTACACATA